TTACTTACGGCTATTGATTCCAATCACTGAGTCATGAATATTATATTAACTATCAGAGTTCACGGGATAGAATAATACACTTGGTTCAAGTTAATTTATTTATACAACTAAAATATTTTAACGAAAAAGGTTAAATACTTATTGACGAATAAGGATTAGTTTTCTAAAGTAAAAGTAAATAAGCTTATATATTTCAATTATCCTTAGGGAGAACTGACAAGCATTTCGATCTAACCTAAGTAAAATTACTAAAGGATTAATGAAAAATAAAAGTTACAATGAGTATAGAGTTGATTCATTGAAAACAAAAAAATGAATATTCGAATCATCACTTCCACAAAACCATTCCATGGTACCAGATTAACTTTAGGCTTCTAGATCCATTTAATCTATGTCGATGTATTTAATACCATAAATCTAATTTTATGTGGTATCAAGATATGAAATAAAACCTCAAGTCCAAATATTGGGTCTAGTACCGAATTAAATCTTTCCAAATAGTCTAACTTTAGAAGCATTTCCTCCAAAAAATGGGTTTTTCAAAATAATTTAGGAATCAATTATAGGATTAGTTGGCGATATTTGAAATTTCTAAACTTGTTGATAATAATAAACTATGATGTAATGAGTATCAGTATCTTATTAGCTGCAAATTAGATACACTGAATAATTTTGATCAATATAAAGTGATTTCTTAAGAATCTAGAGACTTATTTAAAATGTTAACTTGATTGGTCTAGGATTTTAAAGAGATACAGATCCTATAATTAGCATGTATTCATACTCATTGGATCCTGAAATAACTATTGCATATGCATTTCCATGCATATCTTGCTTTATCGAATGAACCTCGTAGTAATCTTAACTTATACTCTTAATCCACTTAGTAGATCTGTCAACATTTATCAAGAAGAAAAACGATGTTTTCATCAATGAAAGGCTATCAGATCCTTCTTCAGTAGTTGTCCCTCCAACTATGATTTACCCATTATCTGATACATCAATTGCAGAAAATTATGATTGACCATAGTTATTTCCTAGATATTTTGGGAGTTTAAGAAAGCATTAACTTTATGTGAAGCTAAATTGGGAACTTATGTCGATCAAACTAAAGAATTATTAATTTATGAAACTTACATTGAATGTAAAAGCAAATAAAAAAGGGAAGTTTTAAAGATGTTCATCTTCAAAGAATTAAACTTAATTATTATAAATCTTAATTAAAATTACAAACTAAGGTCAATTTATTATTGTTTCAGAGCCATTTAATTTTGATTTTATCAGTTGTTATATTTTTAAATTTATGATAGCAAGGGGTTTTGGGGTTTTGGGG